TGTCATTTTGTTAGGGAGGCATTATGGTTTTGTGGTTAGCGTGCCAACATTAGAGACAGGAAGCCCTGGGTTCAGGTCCTCCCTCTGACATATCCTGGTCAATGAAATCACGGGTTCGGTCCAAAACAATGATCGCTACTATTATTACCATGCTATCTCTCTCCTTCTTATCCTCCTACTCTTCATCAACTCCCCCCAGCTCACTGGTCTGGAAACACTTCCTAATAATAACGGTAGCCCCACATCTACAGTGCTTCAAGGTTTATGGGATAATTTCCTTACAATGACCCTGCTGAGAAAGAAGTAGAGGAATTATCTCCATTTTACAGATGAGGAAACTGAGGTTCAGAGGGGGCAAGTGACTTGCCCACAGTGGCAGAGCTCATGTGTGCCAGAGCTGCCCAACCCTCTTCCTACTCGGTCATGGGGTCAGCTCCCCTTGATGGAGCATTCTAATTCTAATGGCCCAGGGAGGTGGGTGGTGTATGGATGATCTCTCTGCTTCAGAGGTAAAGGGATTTGTCCAGGATTTGCATCCAAGGTCAGCCCTCTTTCCACCACACCATACCTGTCCCCTTTCTGAATCTGCTTTCCTACCCAGGGCTCATGTTGCTCATACGTTTTTTAATACCAACATGTGTCCATCTCGACGCTTCTTCTCCAGCCCAGAGACGTTGCTGGGAGGCCCCGGACCCAATGTTAGCACCTACTCTGAACTCTTCCTCGAGGCCAATTTTGTCCAAGGGCGCTGTGGGGCTGTGAAGGGATTGGAGATGCTTCTCCAGGGAGGCTACGTCCAGCTCTGTGTCTCCGTAGAGGTAGTATTCTAGTAAGGCTTGGTAGATGAATGTATACTGCATCTGAGTGGGAGAGGGAAAGAAAGAAACAAGGGAGGGTCGAAGGTGAGCAGTGCGGGGGAGGGGGGGGTCTTGGGCCCTCTGACCCTACCTAGCCAGGCTGTCCTCCTTGGTCCTAAAAAGGAAGGTGAGGGTAGGTGTGTGAGTGGAGGGGAGAGCAGAAGAGGGGACACAAGCTGAAGACCAATCATTATTTGTGTGGAAATTTCTTCTCCATAGAAAAAGATGCTCATGCAGTTCAGGGCCCAGCTTCTGAAAGCAGGCCAGGTAAACCTGAACAGTTTTATTTTTTCTTAGTTTCGTCTCCATGTTTTGTTTTTATAGACCACAGACACCTCCCAGCTTCCCATCCCTAACTCACAAAGAAAAAACAAACCAACACAGCCATCAGAGCTGACAGGGTATGCAACGTTCAACACCCAGAGTCCCCCCCTCTCCCCTGGGAGGGCCATGATCCCACACTGGAGCTGAGCCTTGTTCTAACAGACGAGGAGCTGAGGGGAGGGAGGGCAGGGCCTTTGGTCCAAATCCCTCAGCCACACAGCGTTTTCGTTAACATCATCGGAGTTGTTTTATGGGGCCGAAGGGCCCATATGTGAGTGTATGGACTCAGTCTGCAAGATGGATCAGAACGAAAAGTTCCGTAAATGAAGTCCTTCACTTACATCAGTTTGAACCATTTGAGGCCGCTGGTTACGGATCCTGGAAACAAACTCAAAGACGTCGACCTTTTGCTCAGCATGCATCATATCTATGATGGCATCGATGACGATGAAGGTGCCCGTCCGGCCCACACCAGCACTGACAGAGGAAGAGGAAGAGGGAGAGAGAGAGGGGAGAGGGGAAGAAGGGATGGACATGGAGAGGGAGAGGGAGAAGAGAGGACAGAGGGAGAAAAAGAGGGGGAGAGGGCGATGACGTGGTGGGGGGAGGGGGAAGGACAGGAACAGGGAGGGAGAGGAGAGGAAGAGGGAAAGGGGGAGAGGGAGAGAGAGAAGGAAGGAGAGAGAGAAAGAGAGAGAGCCATTACATATTACACTTATTGGCAGATAAACGGTCTCGGGGGATACGTAACGAAGCTTCAGCACTTTCTTCCAGGGCTCAGACTCCATGCAGGGATTCCAGTCAAGAATCATTGACTTTAAACTTTGGGCCTGTCCGTGCCAATGAAGGCGTCGGTGCCGATCTGCAGTGATGCCACTAGAGGGAGACCTGTCCTCAAAAATGATCCCCACGTCTGTGGCCCGAGTTTTCAGGAGAAAGTTTGGGGCACAACCTGGGCTAGTCACCTCAACTGACCTGACTCTCACGCGTGGGAGAAATTCACTGCAGCCCAGGAGGCCGGTACCTGGATTCTGAGCCACTGGATGAGGACACCCCCACCCAGGCCAGAGAAAAAGAGATCCCGTTTCTCTCCCTTGTAAGGTTGAACTAACGAGAAGTTTGTAAAGCACTTTACAAGCATTATTATCTCATTTCATCTTCACAACAACTCTGGGAGGGGGGTGCCATTATTATCTCCGTCTTACAGATGAGGAAACTGAGGCCGACAAAGGTGAAGTGACTTGCCCAGGGTCACAGAGCTAGGAAGTGTCTGAGGCAGTAATAATGATGATGATGATGATGACGACAGTAGTATTTGTCGTTGCTGTTGTTACTGTCTTTAAGGTTTAACAAAGTGCTCTCCCCACAAAAATTCTAGGAGTCAGATATTACAAGTTTTATGATACCCATTTTACAGATGAGGAAACTGAGGCTCAGAGAACCTACAGTCTCACAGCTAGTAAAGGCTGAAGGCTGGACTCAGAGCCACTACATTGGGCTCAACTCCAAATCTAGGACCTTGACTACCAGAGCACAGATTTAGAACCAAGGGACCTAAAAGCCCCATGCAATCCAATGCCCTCCTTATTTTACAGATGAGGAATCTGAAGCCCAGGGAGGTTAGGTCACTCACCCAAAGAAATTCTCTACTACATAAGGTACAAAAATCTTTCCTTTTAATTATTATTAATTTTTTTTGGTAAGGAACTTAGGTATTTGTCCTGCTGCACAAATCAATGATAGAAGAAATTCCTTCCTTGAGACTCTCCGTATCAGAGGGAAATTCTGCAGGAATGAGCCAGAAGCAAGCCAATGGATTAAACTTAGAATATTTTATTGACTGCTTTGTACAAAATAGGAAATTTTATTCCAGTCCATCCAAGGCCACTGTACAAAAACTATGTACATTGTCTTTCCGTAAACAGTTTCCTTAATTCTGATATGCACACGATTTTTAAAAATACATCTTTTAAATATCTGTAAGAGGCACTGCCAAGCAGATTTCTGACCTCAAATGCAACTCCTATTAATCAAATAAGAAAAAGAAAATCGACAGGCTTGACAGCTACAAAAACCTGCTGCTCTGGGCACTTTGCTGTGGAGACGGGCAGAGATCTGATTTTACAATCCTAAGACATCTTACTTTCACAGATTTACATCGAAGAGCAAACCTATAACTTCCATAGGCTGCTGCTGGGGGCCTGCCTTCCTTTATATTTATCAGGAAGAGGCCCTTAACTGCCTGAATTTGACTGTGTTCACTCCAGATTACTAACCAACTTGTTGTACCTTGGTTCTATTTTTAGGTTACTTCAGAAGCTGGGGTAAAAAAAAAAATCCAAGGATATCTCCATAAACTTCTCTGAGTAAGTCCACCTGGGATTTTTCAAGGTTTAATGCTTAAAGGGAGAATCTTG